TTTAAAGTTTTCTAAAAAAGTTTTTGGTTTCGACTTTAAGAAGATTAATAACTATGTATGTATGTACAGAGGTTGGTCAATTCTTTCATGCAAACACTTAATGTGAACAATTTTTGCAAATCACCACAAAACGTAAACATAGTGAGGAGTGTTGAATGAGTTGATATTTTTATCGGGATCATTATAGCGTAGATTTATAGCTAGCCAAAGCATTTTCAGATTAAAACAACAATATTTGATAAATCCTGGCTGTGATTAATGCGGCAAGCATCAAATGGCAAATGTCTGGTTATTTGACAAAAGAGGCGCCGCCGGCCATTTGCCAACCAACCAACCATTCAGTATTTCTAGTGTTTTAAGAAAGACAAACATACAACATACTGTATTTATAAGTTTATGTATTATAGAAATATTATATAATATATATATTATATATAATTTTTGCTCAATATTAATATTTTAGTTCACGTTTTTCGTTCTCGTTAACCACTTGGCGCTCATAAAGATGGTTCATTTAATTTTCTATATACATGCATAATATTTTTATGTTTAGAGCTATTTTTTATATTTCGGCCGTTGGCGTTGGTGTTGGCCTCTTTCCAAGTTATTCAGTTCTCTTTGGGCCTGAAATAAAACGAGACGAAAGAGTGAAAATAGAAATGAAAACAAAAACAAAATGGAAATGCGAAATGTTTCGCGGCTCTTAATAACAACGTCACAAACATATACTATATGTATGTATAATTCTTAATTAATTTACGTTGATTTTTTATGTGAACCAAAATGATGTATTAAATTGTGTTGCGAGTGCGGCACCCACTCGGATTGCTGGCATTGCTGGCATTGCTGCCTGGGATGATTGCTCACCTGGTCGATGTGATTGGGCGTGTTTTTAAAAATACATACAGAGTGGGAAACAGCATTGCAGGTTGCATTGCTGCGAGAAATCAATATTGGCAAACTTTGAACTGAATTAGCGATTTTCCCATTACATGATAAACTTTAACGCTGCGTGGCTGCCACGAGATGCTTGGCAAAGGGTGCCTGCCCTGTGCCGGCACCGATAATTGTGCTGGTGCTGGTGCTCGGTGCTCGGGCCGGTGCCTGATTATTTAGTTGACTTGTCTTTGATATTGCACTGGGCAGCACTGTCGATTGGATGTGCTTTGGCTTTTAGGTAATGAAATTTTTGCATGTTGCCGGGCCGGTGTAAAAAGTTTGCCGAGCCATAATGAGCTATTATGACGCCTGAGCTGCATAAAATCAACATGCAGGCATGCCGCCGCCTGCCCAACGCGCCATAGAATATGGAATTAAGCAATGTCCATTTAGCATTTGAAAAGCGCACGTTTTGCCTGCACATCACCGCCGTAGATGTTCATGTGGGTGACGTGTGCATGTGTGAGTGTGTGTGAGTGTGTGTGATGGTGTGTGCGTGCTGTGGCTGCCACACAATATACCTGTACGGATGGCAGCAACTGTGAAGCTTTCAACAATTCCTCGTTGGTGGGACTGGCATGTGCGGCATGTACACACATTACTTCGATGTGTGTGTGTGTGTGTGTGTATGTGTGTGTGGTAATTTGTATGCAGCGCCGTGCCGGTGGCTCGCCTGCTTGGCGTTGAACGATTGCGCTCTCGAGTGCACTGAGGAAGCGACGTGTGCTTGCCCCAGTGCCCAGGAAACTGCTTAGCGTTGTGTTAACCTTGTTAAAGAGCTGCTCCACATCTGCCTGCGACCTGTGACCTGAGACCTTTTTGACCTGCCCCCCGACTAGATGTTGGGTGTTGTTGCATTTATCTTAAAGTGGAACTAATGATGCGCATTGTGCCACGCATGTCAATGGCTAGCGTGGTACTTTGGACTTGGCTTATAGCAGCAACTAAAAACAACATCAACAGCTCCCTTAATTGCGTTTGCGCATTACAATTAACAGATATTACGGCTACAGAGCACTTAGGTGACTACTTTTTCTCAAAGCGAATGATTCATTTGTGCAGTTGTGAGCAAACCCTATTGCTGCGTGTTGATGTTATTTGACTTAACTCAATTAAACCACACATAATACTTGAGTAAACTGTTGTCAACATTACTCTTGATTGCAGTTCAATAAATGGACAGAGATTCGTTTAAGCACTCGTATGTTCATGTTTTCAGCCACTGTTGATTATTTTCGAGGCAGCTGACATTCAGAATATTGAAAAAGCCAACATAAATTTATCTTTCAGAACTCATTCTGAATCCTAATTCACGTACTGGATCTAGAAAATATTGTTCATGTATATCGTACATGAGATATTTTTGTACCACATAAGCACATGTTCAATTAATATGCAAAAAGTTATTGTTTATTATTAATAACGCCTCCGTTTCAGTGCGGAAATTTTTTTTAATTTTTTAGGCAAAATAGGAAGGAAGCAAGTTGAATATTTAAGACCATTATGGACGAGTATGTACATATGTATATCCTCTGAGGCCAATAATTTCTTGGTAGTTTCCAAAACATTCAGGAACTAAAACGACCGAAAAAGGGAATGAATCTATATAACCGACATTTAATTTGTGAAGGAACGTAGCTCCAGGGAATGTTATCCGGTTAGGTAGCGACGGAAGATTAATAAGCAGAAGTGGCAAACAAACCTTGGTATCCCAATTTATAAATGCATGAACATTATTCCAGCACATTTCATACTAGAAAGGACTTCAGTGGCCTGATGGTGATCATTGATTTCTTTGGACTAACGATTAATGAATCCAAGGAAATATCATAAAAGATAAATTTTGAATCGAAAATTTTGATAGAATAGGTTTCACATCATCGTCATTTATAAATAAACTATAGCTACACCAGAAGTTTCGAAATATTGGACCTGATTTGTAAAGGTGCAGCAAATAATTTAGTAATAACCCACAATTTAGGAACACATTACACGGCTTTAGCATTGGTTGCACTTCTTAAGCAAACAACTAGAAATATTTTCTGATCCAGGAGAGTGTGAAGATTTTAAAGTTATCATACAGAGATTACAAGAAAATGCGCTAGTTGTAAGAATTGCCAGACTAGACGTTGGACGATGGAAAAAACCCATCAGTTTTTAAATGGTTATGGAAACCACCGCTTTAACGCCTTTCTGTTACAACCGCAAAATCCAGTAAGATATTTATGTGGTTAAATATCGAATTAATTTGAACCGAAGCCAGATTAGACAGGCAAGTCAAATAATCCTGCAAGCCTGCTGCGTATACAATATTTGGCAAAGTGATTCCGGTATCTGATTAATTTGGATAATCTGTGAATGCGTATGTGCCTATAGGCGGAAAATATTCACTTTAGATTGTTCAGAGATCGGCACGTGCAAAGCTATGCTGTCTTATAATACTGGACCGACGGATAGCCGCAAAACTTACACATCAATGCATTTTTAATATGATTGCCCGCTGGTGTACAGTCGGATGGGCTGGGCTGGGTTGGGTTGTGCTGGGCGCTGCTTCCTTTTCTAAGCACGAATGCGCAGGAAATTCGCTTAAGTGTGCAACAAAATGTTAAAATTAAAAATTGATGATGCTCTACCACACTGCCTCTGTGGCCTCTCGCTTTTGCGGTTGTGCGCACATTACCCCAACTCCTCCAACCCCACCCCCGCCTCCACCACGACCACCGTCTACTCCTCTGTTGCTGTTCCTGTTCCTGTTTCTGCCTGTTTCCCCCCTGCATTAGTTTCAGTTTCAGTCGCAGCTTAAGCTTCATCTTCGTTGCCCCGAGCTTGTGGTCAGTGTAGCATAACAAAAAGACGAAAATGCGAGTCAAAACCGACACGGCTAAGCATACTATAGTCGCTCTCCAGCTCTGCAACTCTTCGAAACTTTACTCCACTCGGCGCGATGCCGGCAATCACGTGTGAATATTTTTGCACAAATGCAGTTCAGTGTAATGTATTTAGCTGTACGTGCTGCGCACAGCTCGCGCATTCGCAATTTGAAGTTATAATTTATTTAAGCGCATCCATTAACGTGCTAATATTGATGACCACCACTCACGAGTCACTCACGAAAAAGGAGCACGCAGCGCAGGCGCCCAGCAGCAATTGCCGCTCAGCGCAATTACTTTTGAGTTATTTGACGTGGGCTTTGACTTTAATAGAAATGCTGCTAGCAGCAGCACACTTTGTGTTTGTCTAGGCCTGGCCCTCCCTCGAGTAGACTCGACTCGCTTTGATTTCCATAAGTAAATTTTTGACAAAGTTGCGACTTAGCCAGCCAGCTAGTCAGTCTCAAGCAGCCAGCCAGCCAGCCAGTCAGCCAGTCAGTCAACTAACGAACGTGTGTCTAGGGCAGGTGTATGTGCAGGTGCTCTACAAATATTGTTTGCCCATGGCACACACAGATAGTCTATCAGTGGCGTCCGTACCTCCGACAGTTGCAGGCAAGTTCGTGCCCCCGGGGAGGCAAGCGCTGAAAATCGATTATGAATTATTTGAGTTAGAAAAATGACTTATGAGACTTTGCCTGAACAGAGGCTGGCGACGGCAACTCACAATGGCCACAACTTTTGTGGTATGCTTGTTTGGCATGTTGTCGTCATATTATCATTTTTATTTTATTTCTGCCACAATCTCACACCCGCACCGCACGCAATGTGTTGTGCTGGTGAGGTGGCATGATAAATGATCATCCCAATGTTGCTGTGCTGAAGGCAGCAACAGCCTTCATTGTCTGGCCAAAAGGATGCTTAGCCTTTGTTATTGGCCTTACTCTAATAAATTTAAAACTCATATATTGAAAATTAATTCTTTGTTCGCTTGCTTTGTGGATTTGATTTATGTATGTTTTCTAATACATTACGAGTATGTGCTTTCAATTTTCATGCAATTTGCAGACATCTATGTATTCGTATGTATGTATGTAATTTATATCCGGTCAAAGCTTATTTAATTATAAACGTAGCAGTTCTTGCAATTCCATCTAATACAGCGTTTTCTTTTCTTCTTTTTGTTTCCAGGTAAGTTCGCAGTACGACGGAAAGGAAAACGTGAGTAATACAAATGTTCGGTCAATGTCATTAATTCATTTATTATTACGCTGGATTTTTGGCCTCTGGGGCATACAATTTGTGGTTCTTGGCCCTTTTAAATAATTAATAAGGCGCAACGCAATCGATTTTCATATAAATTGAGATTTATTTCGTTCATACCACAAAAAAAAAAACAACAACAAAAATCGAAAAACACAGCTAATTTATTTCCCAAGTTGCGCATTTTTATAGTGCAATTATCACGCCCGTCGTGTGGGTGACTGTAGCTGTGGCCGGCCATTGCAAAATGCCATGATAAAATCATATAAATTAGTCGTAGACTACGGTCTACAGCCTAGTCCCCCACTCCCCGCACTCCCTGCACTCCTCACCTCCCCGCTCGTTCCACACTTATTAAGACACTTGATTAATCGCCTAACGCATTGTGTTTTTGTAATGCTTGCTTTAGCAGCCGTTTTGTGGGGAGATGGGTGGTTGCGTGAGTATATGGGGGTTTTGTTGCTACTGCCCCAGCCAGCTAAGCCAATTAAGTCATCGGTTTTGTGTGCTGCTCAAAGTGTCATCAATATGCCTACAATTGGAAATTAATTAGCCGCAAATTTGCTGCTGTTTTTCCCCCGCTATTAACCTATCTTTATCGAATGAATATTTCGTCGACTCATTCCATTAGCTCGTTATGTTTGGGACGCTAGGTAATCGAACCAATAGCAACTGTTGCACCTTTAAAGGATTTGTGTAAAAATTTTACATGTACGCATTAGTACCGGCCACTGTATAGGCCGGATATAAGGATATACCATTTCTATACCTTATCTTAGACCCCACCAAGTATATACATATGTTCTTGATCAGCATGATCCATGGCCGTTCCTCTGTAGGCCTGAACGCAAAAGTCTCAGAAAGTATAAGAGCTAGAGGAACCAAATTGGTTAAATTAAATCGCTAAAAGAAATTTGATATAAAGAGGCTTTAAATAATTTGTATTTTGCGTTTTCTAAAGTCATTGGATCCAAAGTAAATATTGAAAATATTTCTGCCAGACCTGGGGATGATATGTTGTGGTGTTAGTAAAAACCCGTCGGATATGCTTCTTTCTGTAGTCTTCGGGTTCCGAGACTGTTGACTCCACCTATTATGGTTCAAAAGTTCCCGGGAATGAGATTGTTGATACTTGTCACCAAGCTGCTTCTAAAATATGAGGACAGGCAAGCCGCCTTCTGTGTGTAATATAGTATGTACAATTGGCTTTTAGCCTTTCTAAAAATAGAAAAAGCAACTATATTGGAAATAGGGTATTTGCGGAATATATGTAGTAGTATCAGAGTAAGCCGCGCACTGTATCAGTATTTTACTTCATTGTCGTAAATTGTAACCGTGAATGGTTCGGTTACATAATTAAGCGATAATTGTGATTAAGAACAGTTCGACTGCAACTGCATACGATGCTATCCTACTATAAAGAAAGTGCCTGCCGCAGATTTTAAATCACTTCAAAGACAAAGTCGCCCTATCGCTCAGTTCGCCGTCACTTTATTCGCTCAATTATGAAAAGAAATTATTAAGTGTGAGCCGTGCTAAATTAGTGCGCAATTGAGTGTGGCTGCTGGCAGAGCGGTGCACTGTGCACCGTGCACTGTCTTTTGCGGCCTGAATGCGGCTGATGCCATATTTTTGCCTCATATTTTTGCCACACTTCTAGGCGAGTGCCGCCGCACACGTAACCGGTCGTGTGTTCGAAATGGTGCGGGAAATGCGGGTGGTGGCCTGTGTCTGCTGCTGGTAATATAAATGGCGCATATTTTGTGCATTTCATTTGCGTGATTTGCAGGCCAAAGTGTGTAGCATTTCTATGGCACATACTACATACTCGTGCTCGCATTGTAGAGGAAGACATGATGGGCACGAAGATAATGTCGACTATGAGTGAGGACCTGCCGGACGGTCCGGACACTTGGGCAGTCAACAGGTTGTTGCTGCCTCTGCCGCTGGCAATACAGTGAATGCAAAGCTACTTAGTTGAGGTCTTTGGCTTGGTTGTTGTTTGCATTGAGTTTGCTTGGTTTTTGTTTCCTTGGCTGAGTGCCAAATACGTGTAGGTTTTGGACGAGCATTGTTGCAGCTACTATATGTGTGGTTGCTGGTTTGCCGCATAGAGACCCTTTGTGGTGGCCAAATTGTGTCACAATGCAGTAAATTCGTCTGTTCTATACAGCCTTTGAATGCACCTCCATCTCATGTGTACCTAAGGAGCGCTTCTCTTGAGATATGCATCGCCATTTCTTAATCTGGCTAGAAGCATAAATCTGACAGGGGGTCGTCTGCGAGTGGCAGCTTCTTCGAAGCGTTGCTAAAATGCTTAATTGACTGAAAATAAAAGCTATAAATTATACAGTCGCAGTGGCAATCGCCACATTTCTCCACTCTATAAAAAAAGAGATGTGTTTGACGAGTTGCTGCTTACGGTTTTTCTTGGTGAACGGGATGCCACTCATGTGCTCCATTGAGAGTTCTTATTATGGAAAAGAGTGAATCCTAAGGGCTGTGGCAGGCTAATGCTACACATCGGTCATCGATTCTAATCGGTTTAAACAAGACACAAAGCACAATTATCGGCATCGATAAAGATTTTGCAATGCCAGATCTCGGCAATTTTCACAATATAAACAGTCAAAACAGACAACGGAGCACAAACTGCTCAAGTTTTTAGGTAGAACGCTAACTCTTGTATACCCTGTGCCAACATGATCTGCTTACAGATAAAATAAGTCTCTATGCCTAGTTTGGTGTCCTTAGTTGTTATAACCCAAAAGCTCTTGGTGTTCATATGACTACGGATGATTATTGTATTAGAGTGACAATGGTATTACGTGTACAAAAGTTTTATTTATGTGTTTCCAAGATCCAGGTGTTCGTGTAGTCGGATATACCCTTTGTTTACAGAGTATAAACACTGAGGACTCAGTCACTCAATCAGTTTCGCAGCAGACAGCAGGCAATATGTTTCAAAGGCAAAAAACAGATCTTTCTAAATATTTATGCTTGAAAATCGAAATAATACGGCGTCAGGAACAATAAATAAGGTTTGATATTCCCGAGAACTGAGCAACCATCAAAAAGTTTGTGCAAGAACTACATTTTATTTGATCTATTTTGGCGTGCCAGCAATCGTGCATGTTTTGAACAGTTTGAGGCTTTTATTTTGTTGGTAATAATATTCCAAAATGAACAATACTACTTGTACACTCCCATGATAAAACTGATGCCTGTCTGTTTCAATCATTTCGAACCCGACCAAGTGAGATCGCGATATCATAGAAATGATATGATTTAAGAAGCGTGTATGTATTAAAATCAATTTTTGTTTATAGAAATATTGCAACCAAACTGTAAGTAGATAATATGGTTGCAAAACTTTTGGATCACACAGCAAAAGGAACCTAGTACTTTCTAATGAGAAATTTGATAGTACGAACATTGTCAAAGAATATTATTATTGCTGTAAGTCACACTGATGTATCATATTTCAATATTAACCCTAGATGGTTGTTCTTATTTTACGTACACCCAGGTTGTTCTACATCGAAACGACTACGGCCGATTTTAAATTCCTGTTTGATCTAAAATCACAAAATTCTCAGTTTTACATTAAAAAAAAAAAAATTGTATTCAATATTTATGACTTAAGTCTTATATTTCGACCAAGCTTCAAGTAGTTATGCTCATGAAATGTAAAATTTTTGATATACATAATTGTATACATAATAATTAAAACTAATAAAGGAACTTAGTTTAATGTACATTATTTTGTATTTAGAAAAAAAAAAGGTCAGATCTAAGTAACTGTTGTGGACATCCGGAATCTTTTTGCTTCTATACTTTCTTAAAAATCGACCTATGCTATCGACAGGAAGTGGGGGGTGACAGATAAATGAACAGACATGAATATGTATCAGAAATAAATTAATAATTGTTTATCCGCCATTTCGTAGAAACCTCGATATCTTTTAAGACATCAAGCCACAATTACGTTCAAAAACTTGGCACTTAAACCAAGTTTATTTCGAAATATATATGCAAGTTCTTTTTTTGTTTTATTATATCTATACCATCTGTGTGGAGTGTGAAAAATAGGCGGTTGCATCGCAACATCAGCATTCAAAATTGTTAAAAATGAACAATTTTATAGAGAATGATTTCAAAACAGTGCCATGTCCCAAGTTGTACGATTTTTTGCTTTAACTGAACTGTTGTTTTTGGAATCGTTTAATGTTCTTCGTGTTTATTATGCGGCGCAGCGGAGCAAATCATTAACACACTCGACGTATAGTATGTGTGTGGGTATTAAATTGTGTTTGTCCCACTTTATTTTCATCAAATAGTAGAAAAGCAAAATAAATGAGTTACGAATATATCTTCGTTTGTGTCGAACCTATATACCCTTTTCTACTCTCTACAACAACAACATATTTTTCTGCTGTAACATTATATGTTTCGCTTCTTGTAAAATCTAAGTATTTATTAGAAAGAATTTTAAACTTTTTTCCAATTTCATTAAATTCCTAATATTTCGAATTTTTCTTTTTCAAATATCTTTTAAAAAAATTGCTCATATAGAAATTATATTTAAATTAAAACGTGTCTGTGGCAGCTATGTGATATATTGATTTGTGAAAAAAAGTGGATGCAATCGTCAACGGTGCTTTCTTATGGGTGTTACAACATGCTTATGAACAACAATATACCCTTACAGTTTTCAGTGAAGAGTATAATAACTGAAAATTAGTAGACGACGACGCCGACGACGGCGATCGTAATCTAAACAATTTCGCCACATGCTGCGGAAGGTAGGGGAAGTAAACAATAAATTCAAGAGGAGAAAGAAGAAGGAGACAGACAGACAGCTTAAATAGGAGCAGCATGAAAACATCAGCAGTATTCGCTGGAAAACCATAATACCAGCTGAAATTTAATGTAAATAATAGCTTGCAGATACACGA